GAGAACCAGCCTTGTGGAACTAGGGGACAGAGGCGGCGCGCGGGGGGAGGGGAGGCTAGGGACCCAGAGAACTCCACACACAGCCACCCAATGAGGCCTGGGGATCCAGCACCCACGCCACAGCAGCCTTGGGCGCCCAGGTGGGCGGCGGCGACAAAGCGAGCCAGGCGGGGGAGGTCAGAGCTGGGGGGTGACTGGAGCCCGGGAAAAGCTCAAACCCGAGCACTTCCAGCCCTCTTCCTCTCTCTTCTTCCTCAGCCGGATGCTCTCCTCTCGCTCCAGGGTGATGTCCCTGACACACAGAGGTCGGCCAAGGATGTGCCTAAGGCTTCTCCTAAGGCTCAGGCGACCAGCTCTGCGTGGTACCGCCCAGCACACTGGCCAAGACTCCCTGCCTGAGAAGAGGCTTTTTCCGCCTTGAGCTGAAGAAGCCTGGCCTGGAACTGGGAGATTCGCGAGAACCGAGAGACTCAAGTCCCCAGTACACCCCCTTGGGCCACCTGACTCCCACCACCACTGGACAGAGAAAATGAGTCTATAGTGACGACCCTGGATGAGGAAGATGTCTTGGTGCCCCCTAGTCGCCACACTTTTTATACTTTTTATGTTATTGGAAAGCGACTGGTCATTATAGGCCAGAATCAAGCCTCTCTAGATTAAAACAGTTGGTGTTCATTTTAAGTGAGTATATACAATATATTGGTTTGTAAGTAAGTAACATAACGATCTGCAGAAAGTTCTGAGCTCCGAGAAGCAATTACAAACCCATCAGCGAAACCAGGAGAGCCAGGAAATGAAGTGAAGGGTAGGATGGACCTAGACAAAACAGCAGTGATTTTCCTTTTTAATGATAACCTCGAGGTTATTGGATTCGCTTATGAGAAGCAAACAAATGAAGCCATGTTAACTATATTTTGTGCCTGATCCTGCCTCTTACTGGTTTTGTGGCCTTCTGCCAATGCTTAGCCTCTCTTTGACTCAATCTTCTCATCTCCAGAATGGGGCTGACAACAGAGTTACAAAATAGTTCTGCCCCTTCTGGAGTGCGGATTAAATGTGAGTCAGCAGTCGATAAGAACATATAAGAGCATCAGCCTCCCTGGCCTCTGTAAGCACCAAGCAAATCAGCTGGGATTATCATAAATTGGTTGTAACAAACACATTCCTTTCCTAGCAAGAGGATTAAGATTCAGTCATGCCACTTAGCAACTTCTGTGACAAATACTTCTGTCACTTCAAGAAAAAAATCAGAGCTGTACCTTTTCCGGAGACAACCAGTGATTGCCACGCCTCTCAGGCAGGCTGAGCCATGGACATATTCAGAATAATACAGGGCTGTTTGGCTTTTCCCAAGAAGTAACTTCTTTAAACATAGTTACCAACACCAACGGCTCTGAACCACTCACTGCTGTGTCCACAAACCCACCTTCAAAGCAAATAAAAGGACAATTTGTTATCTTTAAAAACACCTCAAAGATCATTAAAGATGCCTGTGGACAAAGGAGCATGTGTGTAATCTCCTGGAGGATGGCAAGTTTTAGCATTTTCTTTTTTAGCATTTAGGTTTTTGGCACTGCAGATAAGATATAAATACCTTATTCTTCTTAAATGCTGAGCACAGAATTCAGGAGTAAAATGATCACCATTTATAGTTGATTAGTTTCCCTATAAACTGTATAATTTCTTACAGAATCAGCCACCCATCACAGTGATTGACAGACAGTAAGCACTAATTAAATGTTGACTGATAGTATAGATGAGACAAATGCACACCTTAAAACTGGAATTAACTGTAATGTTTTTTAAGGATAAACAATGACTCCTGGGCACTGTTTCTCTCTTGATTCTGTCTCTCTGTCTCTTTATTTTGTGCATCAAACAAGCCTCTTGGTTTCTTAATGTCATATTGAGAGAACCCAAATCCCTGTCTGTCTCTAAAAAGATGTCTTGATTTCTCAAACCAAAGTCTTGGAACTTTGTCTGGAACCTGTCTCTGGCCCAGACTTCTTCCTTCAAGCAGATAAAATGATCTAGTTGTTCCATCATGGATCACTCTGCCCTTGTGCCTTTTTATTTGACCAGTCTAGAAAGTCTACCTTGTGGCCGCTGTATCCCAGCACATCTATTCCCAGTCCTTTCTGCTGGCATGGCCACAGAGGTAAAATAATAATAATAATAATAATAATAATAATAATAATAATAATAATAAGCCATTATTAGTCACCTTCATACAAAGGTCTCTGTACTTAGAAGTTAGATTATTTCTTTAGCTTTAGCTAGAGTTCTCAGATATGTTTAATATTCCCTATGGGACCTCTTTATAAAGAATCTGTCATAAACAATGATTATTTAAGCTATATAAATTGAACTCAAATCTGACATTCTGAAGAGTAAATAGTGTCTTTGACAAACAGTTGCTTGGACATAATTGTGGTGGATTATCCTATTCCCAAGAATATAAGGACACCTAATGTGAAGAATCCAAAGTTATTTCTGTTTTATATATTATTCTGGTTTTACTACCATGTCAGTGTCATCCCCGAGCATGGCATGACATAGCGGCAAACTTCAAATAATGAAAAAACTTCTCTCCAAATGACAAGACTCACCAAAATAAGCTCCAGGTTTCCAAACATCAAAGCATCTGTAAATACTGAGCCTAGATGATGAGATGAATCTACCCAAAACTTTCCCGACTTTGGAAAGAGAAAAAGAAAGATGAATGTCAACCCTTTTTCTTGCTCCTTATTTTTGGGGTCTCTATCCCAGAAAGGTTGATGACAGACAAAATAATATCTCGCCCCCCCCAAAAAAAATGATGTTTCCCCCTGTGAATCTCTTATTTCACATGATGCTATATTGTGGACATAGAACCACACAATACCATCAAGACCCTGTATCATAAAGGTTTTGTCTCCAGCCTGTAGCACTATTGGGAAGTAGAACCTTCCAGAAATAAGGTCTCATTTAATTGTGTTACAGCAGCAGCAACAGAAAACTAAAGCATCTATCTGTGGGAATGGCAGCCTTTCTTTTGGCCACAGTGAGTTACAAAAGTCCTAAAGGACTAGTTTGTAAGTATGGCCAGGATCCTGTGTGCAAACCATAAAACGAAATAGGCAAAGACAACAGATGTCCATTCTCTCGCCTCCCTATAAAAAAAGACTTCTTCACACAATTTACCTCACTTCACTAAATTTTGCTCATGTAGATACAACATGAGTAGTACATAGTCAACATGCTTCTCTGGAATCTCCCTGGATTTTCCTTTCCTTCTGCACAGAGCAAGTACCCCAAAAATCAACTCAGAGTGCCCCCCTACACCCTAACCCAGCCATCAACTCCTACTGATTTTATCTCCAAAAAGTTCTTGAACCTGTCTCCATGCCTCTGACTTAGTGTAGCAAATTGTGTCTCCTATCTTTCTGTAGTGGCTCCCTAAATGTTTTATCATCACACAAGTCATGGAAAGAAATAGGATCTTAATCTCTCAGACCAGAGTTAGAAATGTTATCAACAGGGCTAGGCATCTAGCTCAGTTGGTAAAGGTCTGGATTCAAACCCTAGGACCATATAAAACCAAATGTGGTGGCACACACCTGTAATGCCACCACAAAGGAGGTGGAAACAGGAGGACCACTACAACTATATGGTGAATTTAAAGCTACCTGAGGCTACATGAGGCCCTGTCTCAAAAAAGAAATGTTAGGGCTGGAGTGGTTTTCCAGTGGTTAGAGCACTTGCTCTTCCAGTGGCCCCGGGTTTGATTCTGAGCACCTATGTGGTGGCTAACAAACATCTGTAACCCCAGCTCCAAGGGATCTAGTGCCACCTTTTGACCTCTGTGGGTACCAGAAACTCACATGGTGCATAGACATATATGCATATAAAACATCCATACACATAAAAAACAAATAAATAATTTTTTTTTTGGTTTTTTGAGACAGGGTTTCCCTGTGTAGCTTTGGTGCCTATCCTGGCACTCGCTCTGGAGACCAGGCTGGCCTCGAACTCACAGTGATGCGCCTGCCTCTGTGTCCCGAGTGCTGGGATTAAAGGCGTGAGCCACCAACGCCTGGCGAAATAAATAATTTTTAAAAAGAAAAAAGATGTCATAGAAAAATCCATACTTCTCCAGGTCTGAGAAGTGGTCCCCACCCCTGTCAATGCTGTATGATTTTTATAATAAAATATGCTCATCAAAAGCACTAAACATAGTGCCTAATGCCCAGTAAGAAGTTAAACTAATATTTGTTATAATCACTGAATTACAAGACTGAAATTTCAAATTAGATTCTATGCTGCATGTTTAGTCAGATGGGCCAGGCCTAAGATGGTAATTATTATCATTCTTTTCATGTACCCTAAAGTGTGTTTTCTCAATCATCTATCCACTTCATAAATATCAAACTACCAAAATAAAACTAACATGAAGAATACTCTTCTTGCTAGGCACAGTGGTGCTCATCTTTAACCCCAGCACTCTGGAGGCAGAAGCAAATGGATCTGCTTTAATGCCAGCTCTGTCTATAGAGTGAGTTCTAGACCAGCCAGAGTTACATAGTAAGACCCAAAAGAACAAAGCAAACAAACAAACAACAACAAAAACTCTTTTCTTGTGCAGAGACAGTAAGTGTCTGTGTAGTGGTCAGACACAAATTAGACATCTAGATCACATTCTCCCCCTCTCCCAACTCTCCTAAGACAAAGGGGTGATCAGGAAAGAGAGAGAAGAAAAATTATAAGAGCCAGATGTCAGGACAGGAGTGAAGCAGTGTC